ACCCAGCTGTGGAGCCGCCTGTGAGGTGAGGACACCGGGGCCTCAGTTGGCTGCAGACCCTGGTGGGAACCCTGTGTGTGCCCAGCCCCTCAAGCAGCAGTGTCTCCGTGGGCACGGTCATCCGCAGACCACCTTGCGGGGCAGCTTTCCCACTGGGACAGACATCTGGTGCGGGCACTGAGGAGGAGGAAGAGCTATTTGGCTCACGGTTCAGGTGCTGTATGCCTGGGCGCACAGTACATGGTGGTGGGAGCTGTGCTGTACCAGGCTTCTCACCTCACAGAAACCAGGAAGCACAGAGGAAGGGGAGGGTCCCCACCTCTCTGAGCCCACGCCCCAGTGACCTCACTTCCACCCACCAGGCCCCCACCTGCTCCCAGGAGCAGCGGGCGCTGGCATAGGACATCCGGGAACCACACCATGACAGCCGCTGAGCCTGCAGCTCCTGCTCTGCTTGGGGATGCGAACGACAGCCCAACACCAACTCTTGAAGTCTTGTCTCTGTGATAAATGGACAAACTGTAAAAACCAAGAGACATCTGAATGAAACTCAGAGCACACAGAGCACACAGGACCTCCACAAACAACGGGAATGTCAGGTGGAAAAGAAACCCGCAGAGACAAAGGAGGGGAACTTGGGAAAACTCCAGACAGAACAGAAGAGATGGTGGAAGCCGTTAACGCACAATGCTGTGTTAAAGGATCCAGCCCGCTATGAAACCAAACAGAGGCAGAGCTCTTGGAAACCAAAACAGGCAGAGATGGAGAGAGGTCGACATAAAAATGGAATGATTTAATATTATATGGTTCAAGTTCTAAGTATTCATCTGGAAGATACACTTGGAGAAATCTCTCATGACGTCCCATAAAGGAAAAAAAGCAAAAGAAGTGAAAGAAAAGTTTAAAAACAAAGAAGATTGTTCTAAGAAGTCCAATACCCATCTAACAAGACTTCCAGAAAGAATTCAAGAAGGCAAAAAATGAAATAACTTTTAAGAAAGAAAGGAGAAGAGAAGGAAGGAAAGAAGGAAAAGAAGGAAGAAAGTCCCCTGGTATGAAAGAAGTTTTTAACTTTCAGTTTTAGTCTACTGAATGCCAAAGGAAAATTGAGAAGTGACTATTATAAGAATTCTGAATTTTAACAAAAGAGCATTCTTAAAGGTCTCACCATAAAGCAAAACAAAATAAGCACAAAACAAAACACACAAACAAACCATGCATTAGACTTTTACTGGTATCAAGAGATTCTAGATCTACAGCAAAATCATCATTTATGTGTTAGGGTAAAGAAGTCTTTCTAGATGCATAAAGACTCAAAATATCTTTTCTGCAAACAAAATTAATAAATAATAAATTGAAATAAATATGCTAAAAGAGTCAATAAAAGAAAAAGTCATGGGCTGTGTGAGTCTGTGATAAACAAAGTTGCCAGCAACATGGATTTAATTTTTACAGTGAAAAATGTGAATATCTTACATTCATTAGCTAAGTGAGAAATCTATATTCATATAATATATGTATATAATATATGACGACTCTGGGACACTTGATGAAAACATACCAAAGTTAAGATGGAAGTTGAAAATAAAGGGCAAACACATGAAAAACAGACTACTTTTTAAGAAAAGAGTAAGCAATTAAAAACAGGATGTGGTTGCTGTTCAGGTCACAGGTTTAATGCAGTGGGTATAAAATGCAACCCTTGCCAAAATCCCAAGCCCCAGGACTATTTATACACAGTGTGAAACAATTTTCAAGTGTATGTTTGTATGCATGGTTATAGAACTTTGGCAACAATAGTCAAGATAATTACAGAAGTGACAAATGCTCAGAATTGGAGTAAGAATTGGAAAAAGCCAATAAAACACACTGTACCCCAGAGGCAATTCCAAATACATGAGACTGTAATTCATAATAATGTCAAAAATTCACCACATGATTGTGGAGTATTATAAAGTCAAAGGTGTTTTTATTTTGCTGATATAGTGCCATACACCTGTAATCCCAGTGCTAAGGGAGGCTGAAGCAGGAGGACCCTAACTTCAAACCCAGTCTAGGCAATTTAGTTACTTATTAGGACCATGTCTCAAAATAAAGGCTGAGGATGTAGCTCAGTGCTAAAGCCCTGGGTTCAATTCCCAATGCCAAGGGAGGAAGGGAAAAGACAAATCTCATACAGAAATGAGAAAAGGCCAGAAATATTATATTTTGTTTCATTACCAAAAATTTATAAGATTTGATCATAAATCATGTTCCTGAGGATGCACAGACAGAAACTCCCAAGTACTTTATAAAAACATCTGATTAGATCAAACATCCTTTAATGTAATTTAGTTGTAACTACCCAAAGGTAAGTGTTTTCCTTAATATGTATGGCACAAAATGATAATGGTGTATACAATTTTTCAGTTATTTTTTATGTGGTCTTATTTATCTATTTTAATTTTTGTTTCCTGTGCCCTTTGCATATTGTCAATATTCAAAATGTCAATATATAAATGTCAGTATACAAAATGTCAATATACAAAAGCTTTTAATTTTGATTAAGTATATTTGTCTATTTTTTCCTTTGAATATTTGTGCTTTTACAAATGATTTCCTGGTCTAAGATCACAAAGCTTTGTACTTGTGTTTCCTTCTAGGAGTTTCATGCCTTTAGCTCTTCTACTTACATCTTTGTTTATTTTACCCTTTGGGGTGAGGTAGGGGTCCAACTTCACTTTCTTGCCTGTGGCTCTCCAGTCATCCCAGTGACATTTGTTGAGTAGACTACTATATTCTTTCCCAATAAATGGTTTTGATTGTTTGTTAAAAATCAATTGACCACAAACATGGCTATTTCTGGACTCTCAGTTGTATCCTGTTGACCTATGTATCTATCCAGAATCAAGACCTCAGTGTCTTGGTTACTGTACCTTTGTGGTAGATTTTGAAGTGGGAAATGTGTGCGTTTAAATTTTGTTCTTTTTCAGGAATGCTTTGACTGTAGTGTCTTGATATGAATTTTAGGATCAGCTTCTCAATTATAACCAAAAAATCCAGCTGTGATTCTGACAGAGATCATATTGAAGTTGTGATCAATGAAATTAATTTATGCCACGAGGTTAATCTTAACAATATTAAATCTTCCAACTGATAAGCATAAGGTGTCTTGCGTTGATTTAGTACATCTTTAATTCTTTCAATGTTTCATAGTTTTCAGTGTATAATTTGTGTAAATCTTGCACTTCTTTGGCTAAATTTTTTCCTTATATTTTATTCTTTTGATGGTATTATACATGAAGTTTTCTTTATTTTTGTATTTTTATTGCCAATATATAGTAATAACATTGGTTTTTCATATTGATGTTATATCCGGTAACTTTGCTAAATTTATCCCAAGTGGGTTGTTTGCTTTTTGGTTCCTTAAGGTCATATATACAGAGAGAGTTTGATATAACTGTGTATCATCTCAGAATTTTCCTGATAGAATTTGGTAGTCAGGGCTTGAACTTTTATAAGCAGTACAGCATAAGATTGGACTCTCATCTCTAGTTTTGGCCAATACCAGTACCGAAATCAAGCCAGTGACCTGGCTGCATTACGTCACAGACCCGAGCCCTTCCTCTTAGAAGGAACAGTCACTAAACATCTGAAACTTACAGTGGATCAGGAATGCAAATGGCTGTGCTCCTACTGTTCTTCGGCCAACTGTTTAAAAATCTCATGAGAAAATAACTGTGTTTACTAAAAAATGTGTTTTTAATTTTAATTTTTTTTTTTTTTTTTTTTGGTGCCAGGGATCGAATTCAGGTCCTTGCGCTTGCGCAGCAGGTGGTGAAACCACTGAGCTAAATCCCCGGCCCTTTAATTTTGATTTTTATTAGCAGTCCACGATTGCATTCCTCTTTGGAAGTTGGTACATGTACGGACACAGCTTACTTCTTTTTACACCCTTCCCCTCCCTTTCCTCCCTCTCCCTCCACTCTTCAACCCCTTCCCATTTGCAGACCTGTCTTCCTGCTTCCTATTAAGTATCTTATACTTTGCTCTGTATTTATACTTTGGGTTTCTCATATAAGAGAAACCATGTGATATTTAAGCTTGTGGGTCTTACTACTCTGCTATAAAGGATAAATTTGAGTCATGGGTAGGAAAATAGATGTCACTTGAGACCATAATGTCAAGTGAGAAAAATTATTTTTAAGTTCAAGAAAATTGTCAGGAATAACCTAGAGGCAGCCCGGATGATGACAAGAACTGCAGGCGGGAACACACACAGGCACAGTTGTTTACAGCTAAACGTGCTGTGAGAAGGCGGGGGAGGATATTGGAGGAAGGTCTCTGAGGGCTGTGCCTCTGGAGGGTGTAGCTCTCTATCTCGTGCTGCTGTGCTTTCCTGGACTCTGCTTCCCAGCTGCTGTGAACAAGCACCTTTGCTCCACCACACCCTTCCACCATGATGTTCTGCCTTTAATCTAGTCAGCCATGGACTGAAACCACTGAAACCATGAGCCCAGTTAAGATGTGGGTATCAGGTATTGTGTCCAGCAGTGGGGAAGCTGACCATTACATGTGAACATGTGTCTAGCAGAATCACCTGCAGTAGCTCAATTCAAACTCCCTGGTTTCTGACCCTGGTTTAGAATACATCTTCCATATTACTGGCAGGTCAAGCTTGACATGTGCAGTCTCCTAAAGGATGAAGAAACACTGTCAACCAGTAATGTGTTCTACAAGACATTTTGATGTGTAAATTTGTTTTAAAAAACATTTAAACTTTCAATATTCAAAAGTTTAAATATTTAACATCCACAAAAGAAAAGAAAAGAAACTATCTCCTTGTATGACATCATCATTCAAAGGATAACACAAAAGCATTTTTATTGATGATTAAGAGGTGAGTGTTTTATGTCATGAACCAGGCTTTCAGAAGCAGCTTATAAACTAAAATCACATTATTTTGCTTAAACACTCAGCAACATTTTATTGCCATCTAGTTAACTGATATACATGGCAATTTAATCATTCTGTTCCCAGATACACACTTGGCAGCTATTTTATTTTGGTGAGTCATCAGGAAATTTTGCTGCTTAGTATTAAATATTCTATGAGAGCTTTATTGATATTTTTTCAATTACAAGGTAAATATTTAATTACTTTTGATTTTAGAGATTTCTGGTTGGTTTTATGAACCTCCAAAGAAACCGCTTTCTGGAATTGATTGCTAGACTGGCTGTAGGTTATCTATTTAGCACTTTCCTTTTCTAAAAGCTTTATTAATTATGAACCTCACTCTTTCTGTAATTTTTACCAGTCTTTTTAGGCCTTGTTTTCCAGGTGTCTTGGGACACCAGGAAACTATAGGGTGTGGCTCTTGTGGCCACCCTCCTGGCCTTGGTGAGGACCTGCTGCTTTATTGTTCTGATGGGTGTCAGGCTGGCCCGTAAGGCCTTACTTACACAAAGGTTTAGTTGTTATAAACACCCTGCGTGCACTGCCTTCCTTCTGAGCTGGAACTCCAAGAATGACCTCTGGTCATGGTGTAGTCTGTTCGTGAGTGGCTCCTGGTCCCCATCTGTAAAGAAGGTGTACAGGTGTCTGTTCTCATGGGGACTCTTCAGGGTCAGGAGAAACCTTAGCCCACCTCAGCCCTCCATCAGCTTGGCCCTAAGCCTGAGTACTCGTTGCTCTCTACCAACCAAAGCTACAGGGGCAGAAGGATCCGTAGACATTGAATGAGTGCATTTTCTGGATACTAGAGAACCTGCTGTGGCTCACAGTGGCTCATGAGATCTGGACTGAAGACCGTGCAGGCCATGCTGCGAAGTTGCCCTTGCTGACTTCGGTGTGGTCATGGTGGTGGCACTGCTGAGGGCCAGTCCTTGCCATGTCCTCCTGCAGTAGCCACCCAGGGCACTTCTGTCTCCAGGGCTTCCGCTCAGGAGGACACTGATCTTTGCTTAGTGACAGCAGGAGGTCCCTGGCCCCATTTCGTGCTGCTTTGCAGGTATTTCCAGCAGTGCCACTGACTCCCGTTTCTGTCTCATTGGCAGTGGCAAACACTGGGAGCTGTGGCTGGGGACACCTCTCCTAGAGACAGACGACCTGAGGCTTAGGTTGGGTACACTCTACTGCTGCTCTCACTGCCTGCTCCTTCTGTTTCTTGTGATTTCCCCACTGCCTCTATGCATGTATTTATATAAGCTATCTGCATCCTGTTTCCTTCAACATACAAGGAAGGAATAAACATTTTAAAAATTATACTCTGTGTATGATACAGGATTGACTGAGATCCACACACAGCCTGTCTCAAAGAGAGCGATTTTCTAAGTAAGCCTCATTTCTGACAATTAAACTTTAAATTAAACTTCATCCCATACTTACTCTTGACCCCAAAGACCTTGGATGTGATGCTGACCTCTGCCATGACCTTGGGCTGGCCTTGGCTCCCCCCCCCCCAGCCCACTCCTGCCTCTCAACTGCTGTGCCTGGGGTGTCAACCTCAGGAAGGGACACTGCTGCTGTGACACAGCCATGGTGACATGAGTGCATGGCCTGTCAGTTGGTGGACAGATTGACCATGACTCGGGAGCCAGGCTGCGCGAGCACTGCCAGGGGCCAGAACAGGGAGGTGGCCAGGAAGGACTCTGTCTGTATGTGGCCTGGCTCAGGACGGGACAGACAGACTTCTTGTCACTCGTGGAAGTGAGGGACTGCTTTTTCCCCCTCCCTTCTAGGCCATGAGAAGAAAACAAGGGAATGAGTGTGGCTGAGTCAGGAAGACCCCTGCCTGCAGAGCTGCTCGGGGTCTTTGTTACTCTCCGTCTCCATCACCTGTCCATAGAATTTGACCATGACAAGGTGAGCAGCTGAAAGTGTGACTGGGTTAGCGGTAGGGTTCGGTTAGTTCAGAAAGATCTAACAGCACAGCATGGGTTAAGGGAACATCTTTTCTCCTGCACGTTAATTTTTAGTAGACCAAAAGCGGATGCTAGGCTGAACTGGGAGCTGGGATGGGAGCAGCTCAGAGTGGCACAGTCCCCAGTGCCGTGGATGTGCAGCCCCTGTGTGCGGGGACAGTGAGCATGATGCTGACCCCAGCTGCGGCCTCTTCAGCTGCTCCTTCCTATGCAGCATTTCTCTATTGAAACTGGTTGTGCTGCCTTTGTCCACTTTGCAGATGCAGCATCTCCGAAGTTTATGGCTTCAGTTGTCCTACTTTCCCTCTTGCAAGTTCTGCTCCTGCCTGCATGGGTGACGATGATGAGGTGTGAGACGCCATCACAGGTTGCTCACTCCCACCTGTGTTCTGAGGCAGGGACAGAAGGGCCTCGACCCTGGGGAGTGGGGTGATGGAGCTTCGGGAGCCTGGGGTGGCTGCATCTTAGTGTAGAAAGCAGACTTTTCCTTAAGTAAAAGAGAAAGTGCTTTCCCACACGGAGCCATCAGTGTTCTGGAAAGAAGCAGAAATGGTTTCCAAGAAATGGAATTTAAAGCATTTTTATAGATTTTGAAATTAAAAGGGCTCCGAAGTAGGACGATACACACCGGTCACCGAGAGCAGAAGCCTGTGGTCCATGTCCCGGGTGCTCCAGCCCAGGGCTGGCTTTGGATGTCCTGGCCTGCTGTCCTTGCTCCCATCCTGTCTGAGGACTGAGGAAGTCTGGGTGTGCAGGTCACATCCCATGAGGCACGACGAGCAGGTATGAACGTCTCCCAGCTGATCTGATCTGTAAGCGAAGGCCTTTATTTAGGAGATCCTCACAAATTCCCCGTATTAACTTATCACCTAACCTGGCCAAACTTTCCCACATTTTTTCCTGAATTTACACTCCTCTTGAATTGTCTTCACATCTCCAGTTTGAAGCTACACATGCCGTAATAGCATTTTTGTTTCAACCACTCCCTAGTCTCTCAGAGGCTTGCAACTTAAATTTTGGCCCCTAGGTCAGCAACAGCAGCAGTCGGTGTCTTGTGGAAGCTTGTTAGACATCGGAATAGTGAATTCCTTCCAGAACTCAGAATGAAAATCTACATTTTGTGCTCCAGGCAGTTCTGATGCACTTGCAACTAGAGAAACTCGGAGTTATCTTAGCCTGTTTCCAGTTTGCTATAAGGTGCTTGAGTTTCATGCTATTATTATCGCTAGGACATGGAATGTCAAGTAGGTCCTGTTGTGGTCACATTCTGTGAAAATGACCATGTGGACAGAAGAAATGTCCTCGTCAGGAGGCATCATGAAAATAAATGCAAATTACATGTGTACAGTCAGCGGCAGGCGTCATGCTAGGCATTTCACACATTATATTTAAGTCAATCCTTTTAAAAACTGAGAGCACCAATTATTGATCATATTTTTCTAATTCATATTGAGAAATGTAGAGTTAAAGGAAGTTTCCTTGGCCACCCAGCTGGGGAGCAGGGCTGGGGGTCTGAGGGCTCCTCTCACACTACCCTGCACTCATGGGTACCCGCCTCCTTTGCCACTCGGTGCTGCAGATTGCAGAGAGCACTGGCAGTTCAGGATTAGTATTTTATGTATACTTTTTGTAATCTAGACAACCAAGAATTCTGGCTATCTACTAACACAGAGATTTGCTTTAGGTATAAACACTTCAAACAAAATCATTATTGATTCTTGAAATTATTCATGACTGTTTGAGTTTTTGTTTGAAATAGATTGTATTTTATCTGTGATGATAAGGCCAATTCTACAGTGTTGAAATTCAAGAATTTTTATGCCTAAATATATGAGCAATATTGGACTTTTCCTAAGTACTCGCGTGACTTTTCTACACTTCCTTGGAGTTAAGTTGGATAGTCCCCGGTCTAGACCAAAATGGTGCACGAATTGTGAGTAACATTGTCTGGTTAGTTTTTTGTTGTACTATACAGTTTTCTAAGGCTTACAATACTCAGAAGTTATTATTTTGACTTTTTCAAAACAGCAACTGTTTTTGGAGGCTGAAGGGTCAACACTGGGAGGCCCCATGCGTCTGGCCTCTCCTGGGTCCTCCAGGCAGACCAGGTTCCAGCCCCGGGCACAGGTGTGATGAAACTATAGGATTTTATGATGTTCTAATATTATCACTCAGCCTAGAACTGGGTGGATAATTTTTCTTTAAATATGGTGAAGAAATTCTCAGGGATTTTGAAGTTGTAAAAATCATTTTAGCTAACTGTTAATGCCTTTCACTCTATTAAAAAGTGAATGCCCACTAGGTCACTAAGATCACCGGCACATCTGCCTGGCGATGCCCTGTCCCTTCTCAGGAAGGCAGTCCTTCCACAGCTTCCTGCCGCAGACTGAAGTCTGAACTGGGGTGTGGGCGAAGCTGCTACTGCTGAACCCAAGGTGACAACTGGGCCACAGTCAGACTCTCTAAGCTGTGTGGCGCCACAGGGGATCTGCCAGGAAATCTGTGCCAAAATGGGACAGTGGTTATTACGGCAGGCTGATTTCCCGAGAAAAGCTCAATGGAAATCAAGGAGAGACATGTCGAGGAAAAAAGAGAAAGATATACAAAGAGAAATAAGGAAGCCATGAGGGAAAATGTTGGCTGGGATACCGACTGTGTAAAAAGAAGCCAGGAAAGAAAGTGGAGGAGGCCAGACCTCGAGTCCCCCGTCAGAGTCATGGGGCAAGCCCAGAACACCTCCTGGACTGAAGTCCACCCGGACCCATCCTTTCCCCTTCTGTGTGTGCCATCCCTCGGGGGTGGTTGTCTCCCCTCCCTATTCAATGTCATTTGGCCACTGGTGACTCCATATGCACAGAGATCAGTGCTAGTCCATCCACATGCTCGGAGATTAGGATGATAACGGAAACTGAGGTCAAAGACAGGAAAGAGTGAGCGAAAGTGTGCCACGTTCTGTGGTTCTGAAGAGCTGTGGGCTGCTGACCACTCACTCTGGTGACGTCAGTGCCACCAGTGCCTTGGTCGGAATGATTTCAGAGCAGGAGGGGCAAACCCTGGATTTAACCGGGTGGACTAGAGAACTGGAGGAGAGGCATTTATGAGGATAGAAACAATTCTCAAAAACACATTTAATAGAGACAACAGAGAAACGGGGTGGCAGTGGTACGAGGAAATTGCATAAAGGGAAGGAAGTATTAAGTTTGGGGAGATTTCAGCATATTTCTATCCCCATAGGGATGGGCCAGTAGGGAGGGAAATGAGGATCCAAAAAAAGAGGGGTCAATTTAGAGGTGAATCCTCAAGGGATTCACCCAACCTTTTGGCACTAAGGGCTGGTTTTGCGGAAGGCAGTTTTTCCATGGGTGATGTGGGCGTTGTGGTTTCAGGATGATTCATGCGCATTACATTTATTGTGTACTTTACTCCTATTATTGATACATTGTAGTATATAATGAAACAATTATAAAGTTCCCCATAATGCAGACTCGGGGAACCCTGAGCTTGCTATCCCGCAACCAGATGTCCCCTCTGGGGTGAGGGGACACAGTGACAATCGAAGTGTGTTGCTATGTCCAGCCCACTCTGTAATCTCATTTTGGTTGTTGTCCCTGAGGAAAACTCTGCTTCAAAAAAGGCAGAATATTGGAAAGGGAAACAAACATACTTTTAAAGCCACCATCATTTGTGATCTCAAGCATCTGATCTTCCAGCATGGATGAGGTCACTTCACCTGGCTTATTCACATGGGGGTACAGACTCGCTCCTTCCCAGTTCAGGGCTCTTTTGTGGTGGGTAGTAACGCTCAGACTCTTCTGCATGCTGATTCAGGTGATCATGCACCAGCCAGGAGAAAGGGCCTGGCTCAGACTCAAGATCTCTGCTAAGTCTGAGACAGTTCAAAAGCCCTGATGTTCTTATTGCCCCCCAGAATTCTGGTTTGGCTGTGAATGCAGCCACTTTTCCTGCCAACCTCTCCCCTGAAGTCACAGATGGAGTTTTTCAGCAGGGTGAATATGTCCGAGGATTAAGCAAGGTTTGTGACCATTGTGTCACTGAAATGTGCTGCCAGTGGTGACTGCTTTTCAAAAAGAAATCTCTGGAGCAGCTCTCACAACTCAGTCTGTGGCCAGGGATCTCCTTTAGAAAGCCGCCTCCCTCTGTGTGAGAGATGTATGGCTGCATCCATCTCCTCACAGAGTGACGTGAACAGACACGCGCTAAGCACGTGCACTTTAATATGGCTGATGACTAAATCACATCCTGCAAAACATCCTTAGGCTCAGGTGACATTCTGCAGCCGACCAGCATTTCTCTGTGGCAGTGCATTGACTCAAACTCAGAAGTGACTCTGACCAGAGCAGTGAAATCAGAAAGCCATCTAGTTGTGGCAGCCACTCCATCTGTGCATAAACTGACACAAAACGACCAATTCAGTTTTCCTGCTATGGGATCATCGGGGACTTGGATACAGTAGTTGACTTGGATACAATTCGTTTGTAACCAGAATTGTGGAAAGAATTAAGTTCATGAACCGAGGTGCCACTGTAGTTCTGCCACTGTGGTGTTGGCTGGCAGTGAAGGTGCACAGGACACGTCTTCTTGCACACCCTCCTGAAGAGTATGTCACACAAAAACGAGCACTGTTGCGTTGATGTCAACACCAGTAGACTCATTAACCTGGGCTGTGTACCACAGTGGCTCATTAATCCTAACAACTGTGCCTCAATATCCCCTGCCATTTCATCAGTTTGCCTAGGTGCCAGCTGAAAGATGAACACATGTTATTGTTGAACAGCAGCCTCCTAAAAGTTCAGGACAAATACTACGTGTTCATGTTTTTATCTTCTTTTGAAAACTCCAAAGGTTTGTCTTTATGCAGAGTTCTTGGTCTCCACATAGCTGAACAGTTTTGAAGGTTTAATGGCTTCATTGGGTAGCTGCTGCCACATATTACACAAGTGGGGTTGGAGAATGTGAATCACTGGTTGCAATGAACCCCTAATTTTAGTAGGCCTCTTGGTATCTTCTTTCAAATGTAGCTATTGATTTCTGATGGTATCTGTGCACATAGACCTCTCTGCTATGTTCATTATATATTTGCAGCCTCTCCCCAGTGCTAGCATCACTGTCTCAGCTCCACCTCCAATCATCAGGCATTAGATTCTCATGATGAGCAGGGAATCTGGAGCCGTCACTTGCACAGGTCACAGGAGAGTCTATGCTCCTCTGAGGATCTAAGGCTGCCAGTGAACTGACGGGGGATGGACCTCAGGTGGTCACCAGAGGGAGGGGATTCAGAGTGAATATGATGAAGCTTTACTTGCCAGACCCTGTTCCTCTCCTGCTGGGCAGCCCAGTTCCAGTGCCAGTCCACCACCTGGGGGTTGGGGACCCTGCTCAAGGGGACAAGAGAAGGTGGCATCCAGTGCACAGGTGACTGTTTTCTTCGTGATATAGCCAGAGAATAAGATGTGAAAATACAATTAATAAGTCTGGTTATGGAAATTCCATAGATAAGGAAAATCCTGTGTTTCAAAAATATACCTGGAACATTTACAAAAACTGATCATTTAATATTCCAAAAAGTAAGTCTCAATGCATTTCAGGAACTTACGTAAACATGTTCCCTCTATTCAAAGCAATAATGTTAGATGGCAATAACAAAAACACTTTTTGCTCTGAGGTATTTCTTGGTACTCCCAGTACTGGTCTCAGATTACTTGGAAAGGGTCACAAGAACAGTGTTACCCTGGGTCTGGAAGGCAAGACCCCTGTGCTGCTCCTGTCGGGTCATGTGGCTATCTGCTCTGGGGCAGAGCTCTGCCAATGACTTGTATCTGTGCTGAGCAGCCTGCGAGCTCCCTATCTTGGAAGGCCTTCTGCCAGAGACTCGTGTTTTCCATGCCCGCCTTACCCTCCTGTGGGAAAGTCCTGGCCCCAGGGCCCAGAGCCACATCTCACAAGCTGTGAGTTTCACTGGAGGGGTCTGTGGTTGTTTAATCTTATCGCTGCGACAAAGTGGTTTCCCATCAAGATGTGACTGTCAACTTCATGTTGCCCACTGAGGCTCTCAGTCCCACGCTGTGTTTCAGTATTTGTTTTTAGACACTTAAATGAAATTTAATCACCTCTACTCATTCACATACTTAGAAGAGTGAAGGACTATTCTATCATGTAGTCTGACAGTGACATTTATATAATGTATCTACATATATGTAAGTCAAGCTCATGCTGTTAGGTGTTATATTAAAGATAAACTTGAAAGAAAGCCCATGAGCCTGCTTCCTATCCCTTCCCAAAGGGTGAATATAAAATAAAAGGCTGCATGTGGATACCTGAAAGCCTTTGGTAGGCAGCATAACAATAGCTTTTTGTGAAGTTCAAATGTGATAATGTCTGAGTGTCTTGAATATGTCACAGCACAATGCACGTGTAAGATGTACCATCAGTCACCTATGTTGTCAGAAGAAAGAAAAGCAATAAAATAAGGCAGCCAGTCTTGACCTCGATGGTGAGGATACGGTGCTCAGACTAACTACTGAACAAATACTTTCTTGGGAAGGACAGATCCAGCAGTCTCTGCTCTGCAATTCCACTACTGCTGAGCATGCTTTCTAAAAGTTGACAAAATAATGAAAAGAATATAGCTTAGAATGCTGAATTAAGAGATACCCAGCGCCTTGACTACAGGCAGAGTCTGACGTGCCTTTGGTTCACTGCAGGTTTACAGACCATCTGACCCCGCCCCGTCACACCTTCCCGGAAGGAAGGGTTCTTTTCCCTCAAGACCGGCCTGGCAGACATCAGCACATCCTTTGCAAGGTAGCATTTTTAGCTTTAAGGGTTTTGTGAAGCCTTTAACAAAGAAGAAGGATTTCGAAGGATGAAATCAGGCCAAGATCTGCAGACATAAGAGAAGCTCCTGGGGCAAAATGGGGACCAAGACTGCTTCCTGTCCCTCGGGTGGCTGGAAGAGTCTGGCTGCAGCGGCCAGAAGACAGCAGGCTCTGGTGTGGGCTGTGGCTCCTGGGAGGCCTGGCTGAGGACAGTCCCCCCATGCCAGCGCCCATTCAGTGTCCGCCCCAGTTTGTTCTACTTTAAATAGCTGCCCTGATGACTCCAGGAAGTGGGTTTCAGGGCAAAGCGATGACCAAGTCTGGCCCAAAGAAAACTTTCCTGCAGGCGCTGCCTGTACAGCAGGATGGGTTGAGACTCAGGAAGCAGAGTGGCCCCAGGATCTATCTTTGAAGTCTTTCTTCTAGGCCTGTGGCCCACTCTGGGCTCTGCTCAGCTTACCTCTTTCCTCTGTGTCCACTGTGTGCTGCTTCTGTGATTCGGAACATATTTATTCATCTGGCCAGGAAAGAGTTTGTCACTGGTATTTATTCACGAGGAATAAACACAGAAAACAAGTTGGCAAACAGGACGGGAATGAGGGCCATTCTCCAGGCCTGTAGCTTCACGCTGGCTTTTGTGTCGGTGCTTGCTCGCTTGCGAACGCAGAAGCACAGGGTCTGACTTGTCTGCAGCTGCGCCTCCTGCAGGGGTCTGGATGCTCTGGTCAGTGGGGTGTAGGAGGGGAAGAAGGGCAGGCCTCACGGGCCTTGTTCTCCTCTTTCGGACTGGAAAATAAACTCAGCAAATAGGGCAAACACTCTACCTGGCCGGGGGCCCGGCTGCACCTGACACACGCGCTGTTTCATCAGTCCAAGTCCCACCTCCTTCCACAGAAACACGGCTCGGGCTCACAGTGTTGACTGGCGCGCGGGGTTTTTCTCGGGGGACATAACGGGCCCCGAGGCCATCAGCGGTGTCCTAGGGCCGCGGCCGCAGCCGAACGCGGAGACAGAGAGGCAAGGCCCGTGCGGACCTGAGACGGCCCCTCCAGGAGCGGGCGCACTTAACCAAGGTTTTTCAGTCTGCACCGGGCTTGGTGTGAGAGACTCAGGTCCCAGACAGAGGTCCTGGCCAGGCAAAGACCTCCGAGAGGGAGCATGTGCCTAACCGGCACTGCAGGGAAGGCGGACCTTCCGCCAAGACAGGCCCCGCCCCTCCGACTTCCGGTGGGGGCCGTCCGCGATCCCCCTGCGCCCGGTTTAGGCCTCAGGTGGCTCCGCCCTGTGCTCTGAGCCAGGCCCGTGCTTGCGCAGAAGCCGCTCCGGCGCCCCTGCGGCCGGGCTGCCTTGTGGACTGGGTTCTGGCTCCGGTGTTCCTGCCTACGGCCCCTGGTGGCACAGTAAGCAGCAGGGAAGGAAACAACCGGAGCCCTCCTGGAAACAGCTTTCCCTCCTGGAGCTTGGACATGTGTTCAGGCCGTACCCTCCCTCCCGCCTGGGGATTTAGAAAGCACTCCTGCCCTGCTGAGGATGTCAAGTCCTGCGGCTTGGCTTGGCTCAGCAGATGCCTTCCTGCTGATGTCCCTGTTGTGCTTGTGGGGTGCGGTACACCCGATGTGCACTGCAGGACCACCAGGTTCCTCAACGTCTGCCCGCAAGCTCCGTCATGGGCTGGACACATGTAGACCTTTGCATGCACGTGTGTATGCCTTTACAACTGCGGTTTGTAGAAAGCACCAGAGTACTGATTTAAAGAGAGGCCTCGGTCTTTTGTACAGAGCAGGGAGAGGGCTGAGCGAATTGCAGTCGCTGTTCCCCAGGTGCCTGTGTGGATGCACAGCTGGATCAGAAGCTTAGCTGTTGCAGCCTTGCAAACGACTGGAGAAGTCATTGCTGCGCTCCATTTGGCTCTCCGGATCTTCTTTCTTTTCTTTCTTTTCTGGATAAATAACACAGAAGTTAAGTAGACCCTACCTGGAAGGAGCCCCAGGATGCGTGTGCAGTGCATGGCAGGCGTGCTGGTATTCAATCAGGGCCGGGTAGATGTGAACAGGGAGACTTTCAGTCCATGCCAGGCTTGGTGGAAGGCTCTTTGAGGTTTGTAACGTGTGCCAAAGATGGAGGGAATCGGCAGAGGTTTGGGTTGAGTGCAGGCCAGAGGGTTCCCAGCCTGGGCTGGAAGCAGCGTAGGATGTGAGAGTTTTACATGGTTTCCATCCAGGGCAAGGTAAGGCTTCAAACAGCAACCACCAGGAGCCAAATGAAAGACAGGATTTCATAAATCCATCCCGGAGCTTGGGCAGAGTGCCAGGGAGCAGAGGGGACCAGGGCGCCCGTCACGGGGAGGGAGTTCTTGCCACGTCTGAACCTGTGGCATGGCTGCAGCAGACAGGAAGCACTGCCCCCAGCGCCCAGTGACCTGGGCTTCTTTTCGCTCTCTCGCTTTGAGGTCGGTGTGTCTGCACTAGTGACATGCACACCCTGGCCTGGTCTGTGTGACACTGCCGGGTGGGAGGAGTGCTTCGGGGTCAGGGGCGGGGGGCTGCTTGCTGGGTGGCTTTGCAATCTAATTCAATATTCTGCCGGCACTTTTAATAAAAAGCCACAGTTGGTGAGCTATTTTAAGCATCTGTGTAACCACTTGTATTATTTTGTGAGTGTCCTGTTGTGCAGGTGTGTTTTGTGCCCAGTACATTTTGAGGCTAACAGAAATCTCCAGAGGCCAACATGAACGCGAAACAAGTAATCCGTGCTCCCACACCCAGCGACAGAATCAGCATCAGCGGCCGGCCGGTGGCCAGGAGGAGGCCAGGCCTGGGGCCGAGTGAGCCCTCTGGCTGCGGGCACGTGGCAGCTTTGGGAGTGGGCCCAGGGGCACAGGCAGAAACTGGTCCTGCTGCATGGAGCCTTGCCCTCCACGGCCCAGGTCCACGCCTGCTTGCGCTGCTGTCCCCAGGACCACCGACAAGGAAGGTGGCTTGCAGACCACAGACATTCGTTCTTTCCTCACAGCCCTGCTGGAAGTCTGAGGTCGCTGCCAGTGTGTCGGGGCCCTAGGGAGCCCTGTGCGGGGACAGAGCCCAAGGCCACAGGTGGGTCTCACTCAGTTACTAAGTTTCCCAGGCTGGGCTTGAACTTGGAATCCTCCTGCTTCAACTTCCCAGGGTCCTGGGGTTGCAGGTGTGCATCACTGGGTTTTTCATACGCAAGAACCTAGGGCAGCTGACAAGCGAAGGGGATGAGGAAGCAGCTGTGAGGAGGTTCTCTGACAGACTGCAGGAAGTGGACGGTCACCTCTGCCTGTCCAGTCCCTTAGCTCCTCTTCTGGGAGGAGAGAGCAGGGCTGTCCCAGAGGCATGGCAGGTGTCACGCAAGTCTGCAACAGGAAGCCCCAAACAGTTTGGAATCACGCAGGACCCTTTCTTGTCCCTGAATCTCATGGAGTTGATTGTGCTGTTCACTTGGCTAAAATGTCTGGTGGGCAGTGAATGTCCACTCATCGTCAGGCGACCAGAGAGCTTTGACTTCTCACAGAGGACCCAGGCCCCTGGGGCTTCTCTCTTCTCTGTTCTGTCTGAACAGAAATCGACCACTCCTCACTTGTGTGGTTTGGCGCTCAGGCTCCACACCCCTTCACATGGCAATGTGACCTGCAACTCCCAAGGCGATGCTCCCCGTTGGCCTGAGTTCCTTGGGGATTGGTGACTTGTGGGTGGAGCAGACACGGCCTCCCTGGAGACGCTGTGCTGGCCGCATCCTACACAGCATTTTACAGACAGACTGGGCAACCCAGAGACTCGGCCTGCCGCTCCTCCATTTTCATTGAATTTGTAACCAGAAAACTTCATTTCTTCACCTGCCTTAAATGCATGGGGAAAAGTCGACAGGCAGTTTTCAGTTGTCCCTATGTGGCAGTCATCCACAGGCGACGCCTTGTGAACAGGCTGCACTGCCCACTCTCAGCTGGCAGACACCGGGGGAATGCCGCTCCTTTGCCAGGGAAATTGGGAAACACCAGTACAGTAACTCAACATTAGCTACACTTTCAGAATTTTGAAAAACAGAGCAAGATGGAACCAAGTGCTGATCGATTTTTACCCTCAAAGGTACGACTTGTGCATCACGTCAGCAGACTCTACCACTCCAAACGGAGCTCAGTACTGACCCGACCTACAGCCAGGAGGGCAGTGCCTTCCAGCAGCTCCAGTGTGGCGCCCAGCTGAGTGCAGCCAGACCCCACAGCTTGGGCCAGCCCCACGGTGGTCACATCTATGACTGGACTCCTCCCTGTGCTGGGCAGTCATCGAGCCTGCCCACTGCTGCAGAGGAAAGCACTACGAGGTCTTCCAAGGCTGTTCTCTGTGCACATGGTCCTTACAGAGTCTTTCAGAGTAACAAGGCAGTCATGGATTCAGATGGTCAGAAATGTAGGACTCGCAGGTCATCCGTCTCCTGACACGCGAGTGGTGGCTTTGCAGACAATGAGCAGTGGTCATCTGACGGCCAATCCTCCTTCAAATCCAAGGTGCTGAGATGCAGGCAGAGCTCCCTACAGCTGGCTGCGAACATGGTTCGTCCCAGGAAGCTGGCACAGTGGTGGAAAGGTGCTCAGAAGCATTTCCAGCCGTGTCTGTTACAGCAAAATTGTTTCCCTTGGCATCCTTCAGGAGCTGGGCAGCGGTCACTTCCTGGGCACTGTCCTGGCGAGGGAGGGCATTCCTTGTGTTGAAGGACGATGCAAGTGCTTCATGCATCCACTAAATGGATGGGAAACGGTACTGCCTTGTGTGATCTAGAGCTCTCAGCTGAATTGTTGACTGAGTGGAGTCATTCAACAGGAATGTCTGGGTCAGGCTGACATTTGTCTCAGGCAGCATCTTGGGTTGGATTTCAGTGATCGCAGCGGGGCTTGGAGGGGTCTGAAGGGACCTCATCAGGGAGCTGGGTCTCAGTTTAGAGTTGTGTACAATAAGCCTCAGGAAGTGCGTGGCCCCCTGCACAGCAGACGTGAGCACTGGGGTCTGTGTGCCTCCGTGTGCGTGCGTGTGTGCGTGTGCATGTGCGTGTATTCATAAATGCCTTCCCTTAGCTAAGGGATTCATGAGTCTCAGCAGGTCTGGTGGTGGTGGCCTCCAAAAGGCAAGAAGCCCCACTGTGGGGAGCAGAAGGCACTTCTGGTGCAGAAGAGGTAAGTGCTACCCTAAAAGTCTGCTGACCAGGCCACGGAAGACATCTCCAGCTCCCGCCTGGGCCCAGCAGGTCTCCCTGCCTGACTTGCAACCCACTTGCGGGATGGATGGTCACCGCTGCCAGCTGCCAGGGGCTCAGCAAGGCTGGGTCCACCTGTGAGGACAAGTCCTTGTCCACTGAAACCCACCATGAGCTCTGTGCATCCACCACGTGGCCTGGCAGTGGGCACGGGACCTGTGCGGGCCCTGAGAAGGAAGGGCCGGTGGGGATTGGCGAAGCATCCGCCTTGACAAAGGTTGAAGGAGAGACGTTTGCAGGCCGGGCCTTCCTACCTGGGCAGGGCGTGGATGTGTGAGGACACACTGTCAGGCCGGCTGAAACCACTCTGTCACCATGAGAAGACCAACTTGAGGCTGGAGAGGCTCCGTTCAACAAGCAGCGTTACCTGCGGGGTTTGTTAAGTGAGATCACAACTGCCCCTTTCAAGAAGCCCTGAGAAGGAGCCCTTCTGTTGTTTCTGAGAAAGCCCCTTCGCTGGGAGGGGCAGGGCAGAGGGAGCCCTTCAGCATGGAGTCAGGGCACATGCGTTCCTCCTCCAGCCCTGTGGCTCCACTGGGCCTGGACTCAGCCGTGCTGAGCCCGGCACCAGAATCTGTCAAGGTCCCCCCAGGTGACCTGCTCTTACCTGACGCCCTTTCCCGATCGCATGCACGAAGGGGCGAGAGGAAACCTGGAGGTGACAGGCTTGTCTACCGGGGTGATCATTTCATGGTGCACGGTACCCCCAACTCATCAGACCGTGTGAGGTGATGTGTTTCGTTGTGAAGGGCATGGAATGCACACCCTTCCTGTCTCCTGGGCCTCAGGCTCTTGGGCTCCTCCCCGCTCCCCTGTGCCGCTGCCTGAGAACTGCTCGTTCGCCTTCCATTCACAGTCTCCTTCAGATCTGCAGCTCCCTTTTGCCTGCAC